CAGCCTCCACAACAATCGCCGTTAGTCACGTTACGGAAAGGCGAGCAACCTTCATTTATAACGAGCAGGACCATTCCCAACGATAGTTTGCTGCTTTCGCTGAACGAGAACGACGCCCGTAAATCAATGGTGGTGAGGTGATCGCGCAGCACTCCATTGCAAGTTGAAATACGGTAGGGAGACAGCCTGAGATACGGTAGTAAGATTGCAATTGAATGCGCATCTCGCTCCATCGACCTTCCATCCGTCAACCCGTGACGTGATTCATTTGTCGCCCTCGTCTTCCCAGACAACAGCCCACAATATATTCTCGCACAAACCAAAATCCCCCAACCACAGTTCCTACGAAGGCCAGCCCCCGAACAATTATTCTCTAGTACTAGCTAGTACAAGCCAACTATCCCTTGTGCGCTTTTCTCGTTCACTCCGCTCCCTTAAGGGTCCTTGTTCTTCACGAGGCACCTGGCCCAGCGACACCAATCCCAAGAATCAGATCTGCCGCCCCGGTCGTTCAACTCCGCCGTCATCGCCCCGGTCGCTCCAGTGGGCTTCCACTTTCACGAGTCGCGATGCCCACATTCTCACGCTTATCATCCCACCCGTCGCCGCATGATGCAACCGCTACGTCGCGGAATGGCATTCCGCCGCACAATCCGCCAACGGTCACTCTCATACTCCCCGATGGCTCCGCGCAGCATTTCCCCCGCAGCCTCACCGTGCGCGAGGCGCTTGTTCTGCTTGCGTCTCCTTGCCCCTTCGACGCCGCAGAAACTCCGCCTGCGCCCCCGCCGCCTCTGCCGTTCGCGCAGAGGTCCGCGGCGGAAGCCCCGTTAGCTTCCTCGGCGGAGAACCCCCGCCGCGCGCCCCAGCAGGATCCGCGGTCGGCGAATTTCCCCCTTGCCATCTCCGCCCCGGCGCGTGGGATATTCGTCAAGGAGCGGTGGAAGCTGCCGCTGGCGGAACTGCTGCGACCCGGTCGAACCTACCACGTGTATAGTCCGAGTGCTGCTAGTAGTACTGAGTCTGCTACACCTACTCAGAGAATGGGCACGGGGAGGATTGGGCCCAGTGGCGGCGGCGACGCGGGGTCGAAGCAAGCGAAACGAGGCGGCGGCAAGCCGGCGAAGGGGGGACGTGACGAGCGGCGGCAGGCGCGGAGGCAGGGCGACGAGAGGAGATATTCCAGCAACAAGGTGCGGAGATGGGTTTGTCGCGTTTCCACACATTGACCTTGTCCCATGATGATGACGGCAACAGTATCAATCATTGATATCGGAAGGAGGTTGTATTGCGGTGAGTTTTGAGGCGCCTCAAAACTCTCCGCACATTGACTTTGTCCCATGATTATGATGTCGGCACAGTATCAATGTCCAAAGGAGGTCGTATTGCCCTGCATTCCGGCGCCCCCCCCCCCCCCCCCGACCCTTCTCGCCCACTTCTCGCCCCTCCCCTTCCCATCCCCTTCTCCCCTCCCCGTGCCCCATCCCGTCCTCCGCCCCGCGTCCCCGTCCCTCCCCCGTTCTCAGGTCTGGCCCCTCGCACCTCTCCAGTCGTCCGCTAACTCCCCTCCGCGAATTCCGCGCGTCGTCGTTCCTTCCGCTGCGCCGGCGCGCATCTCCGCGCCTTGCGGCGGAAGTGACTCCGCCGGAAAAGACGGCGGCAGGAACATGGAGGATGGCCATGGGAATGACGAGGCCCTTTTGTCGCCTTCTGACTCGTGCCTGTGCGTGGGCTGGCTTGGAGGTCCGAAACAAGAGAGGTATGAGGAACTTGGGTGGGACGAGAGAGAGGAGCGAGAGGACAGAGAGGGGTCAAAGGACGAAGGAGGGGAGGCGGAGAGGGTCCAAGAGGGAGAGGACGAGGAGGATGGAGAGGAGGAGGAGGTGGAGGGGGAGGAAGAGGCGGGGGAGGGGCGAGCTGGGGAGGGTGGAATGGGTGAAAACTTCTCCTTGAAAGAGAAGCCGCGAGGGGGCTGCGGCGGCTACTGGAAGAAGCCAACAGGGACGAGCAATCATAATAGTAGCAACGAGAGCGGCGGTAGTAACCACGATAACGAGGGCCATGCTGCTAGTAACAGCGAGAGCAAGCTCACGTACCCGCCGTATCCCCTCGCCACCAGACTTGCGCTGCCACTGGCGCGCTCTCCGATCCGGGCTCGTCCGTTTTCCCCTCCCGCCCCTTTCCCCCGCGCCGAGCGGGAAAAGGGGAAGCCGTTTCCCCTTGCAAGTATGACTGCGCCTATCCGCGCCCCTATGTTCCCCGCGAGCGCGGCCTCTCCTGCCCCCGGAGTGGTGTCTCCGCTGCCTGCGGCGCCGAGCGGAAATCCGAACGCCCGCGCGCGTGCGGGTGCGGGTGCGGGTGCGGGTGCGGGTGCGGGTGGCTTGGCGGGAGGCACACGGGAGAAGGTGGGGCGCCTGAGCAATCGGCGCGCAGCAGCGGCGGTGCTGCTGCTGGCAGTGCTGGCAACCGTTGCGAGGGAAGAAGCGGTGAGCACGAGGGTCATGTGCGCGGTGTTTCCGATGGCAGTGGTAATGGTGGTGAGGGTGGTGGTGGTGGGGTGGGTGGTGGTGGAGGTGACAGGTGCAGGGAGGAGAGTGCGAGGAGAGGGGACGGGAGAGGAGGAGGAGGATCGGCTCTGTGGCACGTGATGAGGAGGTGTGGGATCGGCGGTTCCAGGGGAATGGACAGCAACAGCAACAAGGCCAGCAGCAGCAGTGGCAGGCGATGGGGTGGTAGTACTGCGATGAGGAGTGCCAAGGTGGCCCCTTGGAACAGCGGCAGCAGCAGCAGTGGCAGCGGCAGCACCGTGAGCAGTGTGGGGAGGGGTGATGGTGACAGCACGACAGCAAGGAGCAGTAGTGTGGGTGGCAGCAGTGAGATGAGGGCAGGCGCTGGGGCGGCAGGTGCTGCTGCTGCTGCTGGTACTGCTGCTCCATGGGGCGTGAAGGGAGGAGGAGGAGGAGGAGGAGGAGGAGGAGGAGGAGGAGGAGGAGGAGGAGGAGGAGGAGGAGGAGGAGGAGGAGGAGGAGGAGGAGGAGGAGGAGGAGGAGGAGGAGGAGGAGGAGGAGGAGGAGGAGGAGGAGGAGGAGGAGGAGGAGGAGGAGGAGGAGGAGGAGGAAAAGGAGGAAAAGGAGGAAAAGGAGGAGGAGGAGGAGGAGGAGGAGGAGGAGGAGGAGGAGGAGGAGGAGGAGGAGGAGGAGGAGGAGGAGGAGGAGGAGGAGGAGGAGGAGGAGGGAGTGGGATTTCAGAGGGGAGTGGGATTTCAGAGGTGAGTGGGTTGTGGTTGCTGGATAAACACTTAGCGGCAGCAGCAGAGGACAGTGCTTCTGGTCGTACTGCTCCTGCTGCTGCTGCTGATGATGATGATGATTCGGATGCAGACAGTGATGCGAGGGAAATGGCGTTTCTGCACAAGCAGCTGCAGATGTATCGCCTCTCCTGCCCCATCGCCCCTGCCCTGCCGCGCAGCAGCAGGCGGCGCCGCTCCTGTGGGGGCAGCATGGGCATCACATGGCGGCCGAAACTGCCGGGAATAGCTGAGGCCGTAGGGGAGGGAGGGGAGGGCAGTGAGGACAGTGGAGAAGGGAAGGAGGCAGGGGAGGGGATGCGGTGCAGCGAGCAGTTGCTGTGGTTGCTAACAACCCTCTTGAGGACTAGATGCTGAAGCTGATGCTGATGATGATGATGATGATGATGATGATGATGATGATGATGATGATGATGATGATGATGATGATGATGATGATGATGATGATGATGATGATGATGATGATGATGATGATGATGATGATGATGATGATGATGATGATGATGATGATGATGATGATGATGATGATGATGATCAATCAGGAGGAACCACTGTACCATACGGTAGACTAGGGTCCTTTTTTCATCTAGTGACGATTACCGTAGCGTGAACATTTCACCAGCGTTCTCCAAGCACTGAAAACATAGTAATACTGACCACTCAGTTGATTTGATAACCATGCATTAATGAGGCACATGTTTGTTACCATGTTTCCCTAGTTTTTTTGTACTCTTCCTTGTGATGCTGCAGCTCACAATCTTTGCGGAGTGTGGCTGATGCACCGTCGTGCATGTACACTGCTACAGCACCACCTGTTACAGAAGCGTCATGCTGTCTGGGTCTGGTTTGGACAGGTTTGATGCCTGTAGAAACTTGCCATTACAACAGCACACATTACGTACAAGACAAGACAGCATAAATAAATAGGGCTGAGCACACATCACTACCACCCCGCATTATTGCCCCCCTCTACATCCCCCGGCTAATACTACTACCACCACAGCTCTAGTGCTTGTGCAAAGCCTTCTCTGCCTCCTCAGCAATGTGACACAAAGCTGAAGGTGCACTCAGACTCAGTGGTGGTGGTTGTGGTCACTGGTCGCGCGATTCATCATGACTCATCATGCCTCATGCTCCCTGCAGCCGTTGCTTGTCTCCGTTTCTCCCGACACGGAACACCAGCCAGCCCATAGCTCCCTCTGTGTCCTTGCTGCTGGGCGGCACGCATCACATTGTTGGGCGGCACGCAGTAGCCTGCTCTAGAACTCCGGTCCCAGAGGTGGTTGGCTCGTGGGCAGGCACTCACCCCAGTAACTGCACATCCCCACCACCACACCGCGCCATCTAAGCACGCTGTCATCGAGTGCTCTTATTGCTGCTTCTGCGCTGTAATCACTGGCCTTGCCCTTGCTCGCCCTTGCTCGCCCTCGTTCATCCTCGCCCTCTTGCTGCGCAGCACCATAGAATATCAGCTTCCGGCTTCTCCTGCCCCACACATCGTCTGTGCGGCACAGGTGGCGTTTCCCCCATCCTCCCAGGTGACCGTGGTCTCCATGTCCTCGCCAATTGTCACGCGGGCCCACTTGGCCCCCGGGGGAAGCCCCTTCTCGCTTCAGCAGCAGCAGCAGCAGCTCGCCGTCACCGCCGCCGCCGCCGCAGAAGCAGCAGCAGAAGCAGCAGCAGCAGCATTGCGCTACCCATCCTCCCAGGTGACCTGGGTCTCCATGTCATCGTCAATCGTCACACGGGGTCGCTTCGCCCCCGGGGGCAGCCCCTTGCCCAGCTCCTCACACTCCACCTGCAGGCGCCGCACCTCGCGCTTGAGCAGCCCGATGTAGTTCACAGCCTCGTCCAGCATGGTGGCTGTGTCCGTGCGCGGGTTCCAAATGGGCAGGGTCTCCTTCAGGTTGTCTAGACGCTCGCTGTTTTGAGGGGAGTGGGAGGGACAAGGAAGGAGAGCCGATGAGATGTGGGTCACAGACTCGTCCAGCATTGTGCCTGTGGCCGTGCGTGGGTTCCAGATGGGCAGGGTCTCTTTCAGGTTGTCTAAACAGTCGCTTGAGGAAGGGGGGGGGGCAAGAAACGATAGTGGTGGGTACGGATGGTGGGATGGGAAGTGGACGCGTGTCGGTGCGTGTGCATGCACCGTGTGCGCATGTGTGAGTGTATGTGTGTGTGTGCGTGTGTGTGTGTGTGTGCGTGTGTGTGTGTGTGTGTGCGTGTGTGTGTGTGTGTGTGTGTGTGCGTGTGTGTGTGTGTGTGTGTGCGTGCGTGTGTGCGTGCACGCATGCGTGCGTGCATGCGCACATGCCAGTCTGTCTCCAAGCCATCAGTACCTGATCTTGCTGCGTCGCTTCCTCTCCGCCACGCTCCGAGGCCGAGTGGACTGCTGTGTTCCATTCCGTAACGACTCCAGCAACAGCGCTCTCCGCCGCTCCCTCTCCCTCTGCTCCTCACCCGCCTCCCCCTCTTCCTCCTCCTCCTCCTCCCCGTCAACCCCATACCGGCTGTTCCGTTCTGTGCGCTCCCGTTCCTCTCCCTGCTGTTGCTGCTGCTGCCTGCTAGCATCTTCCCCTGATGCCCCGTCTTCACTCCCCTTCCGTGCCTGGTGGACAGATGACAGATTCAATCATGGGACGTTGAGAGAGCAGCATGAGAACAGTTCAACATCCGACTGGCGGGACTCAGCAAGCTTGACATGCAGGAGGCTTGACATGCAGGAGGCTTGACATGCAGGAGGCTTGACATGCAGGAGGCTTGACATGCCAATCGCATGCTAGAGCCAGAGGGATGTGGGGGCACGAGGAGGCGGTTAGGGGTAAGGGAGGAAGGGGTAAGAGATTCAGGCGTCGTTTACCAGTGAGCGTGACGTGGCTGGGCTGCTGCTGCTGCTGCTGCTGCTGCTGCTGCTGCTAGACGGCTTTTGAGGCGCCTGAGAAGGAGTTTTAAGGGAGAAGAAGGGGATATAGGCTTACAGGCTTACAGGCTTCGCTTACCAGTGATCGTGACGTGGCTGGGCTACTGCTAGACGTGCCTTGACTGCCCTCTGCTGCTCCGCCTCCACATGCTGCTGCCCTCACCACTGGTGCCCTCTGCGAACCAGCAGCAGCACCAACAGGAGCACAGGCAGCAGCATTAGCTGAACCAGGACCACAGGCAACAGCACCACGAGTAGCAGCAGCAGCAGCAGCAGCAGCAGCAGCACCAGTACGAGCAGCAGCACCTCTACCATCGTCGATGGTGGTGGTAACAGCAGTAGCAGCAGGGTTGGAGGTCACTGGACGATCGCTGAGGGTGTCAGCTGGGCGCTGCTGGGGTGGTGCTAAGCTCTCCCTCGCATGCGGGTTCAACACTGGCCATTGCCGCTCCTGCTGCTGCTGCTGCTGCTGCTGCTGCTGCTGTGCTTGCTGCTGCATACGGTACTGGTACAATCGCATGCCTGCTCCAGCAGAAGGACCACCACCATCACCACCATTGCCACCACCATTAACACCATTACCACCAGCGCCAGCGCCAGCGCCATTTCCTTCATTGGAACCGCCACCACTCCCAACTGCAGCAGCAGCAGCCAAAGGAGATTCCGCCTGAAAGCCGGGCGCTGCACAATTCCCGAACGGAGGATACGAGTGGGTAGCTGGAGACGATACAGCCGCACCCTCTCCCGCCGCCATGTGCACGCGCGTGTGTGCAGCAGCTGAGGCAGCAGCAAAGGCAGCAGCACGAGTGCCAGCTGTAGCAGGAGAAGCAGCAGCAGCAGCTGTAGCAGCAGAAACAGCAGCAGCTGTAGCAGGCACGGGAGGTGTGTTGGCCGGTGTGTTGGTAAGAGGCGCAGTGGTTGTGAAGTGATTGGCAGCAGGAGAAGGAGGAGCTACTGGTCCGATTGAAGTGAATTTGCTTCTGTTGCTTGCAAGGAGCGTAAGGGAGGGCAAACGATTGGACTGAGCAACAACCCATGCTGCTGCGGGTGCTGCTGCTGCTGCTGCCGCTGCAGTAGCGGTGGTGGTAGGGGTGGTGGTGCAAGCACCAGGCATTCCAGAAACCGTAGCAGCAGACACCAATCCCAGGCCGATAAAGGAATTCACTCCAGACTGCTTAGCATGACTAACAGTGGCACTCATAGGGCCAGGGGGGAGCATAGGAAGAGAGGGAAGGACAAGCGGTGAAGAGCTTCGTGTCATGGGATAATGGTAAGGCTGCTGGTCGTTCGGGTTGTGGTGCTGCTGCTGCTGCCTTTGCAGCTGCCATTGCTGCCATTGCTGCTGCCTTTGCAGCTGCCATTGCTGCCATTGCTGCTGCTGCGGATGCTGCTGCTGCGGATGCTGCTGCTGCTGCTGCTGCTGCTGCTGCTGCTGCTGCTGCTGCTGCTGCTGCTGCTGCTGCTGCTGCTGCTGCTGCTGCTGCTGCTGCTGCTGCTGCTGCTGCTGCTGCTGCTGCTGCTGCTGCTGTGGCTGTGGCTGCTGCTGCTGCTGCTGCTGCTGCTGCTGCTGCCATTGCTGCTGCTGCTGCTGCTGCTGCTGCTGCTGCTGCTGCTGCTGCTGCTGCTGCTGCTGCTGCTGCTGCTGCTGCTGCTGCTGCTGCTGCTGCTGCTGCTGCTGTGGCTGTGGCTGCGGCTGCGGTTGCTCCTGGCGGATGTGAAGCTGCACTGATCCCACGCGGTTCTCCGAGCCTGTCCGAGGCAGGTGAAACAGGTGAGAAGAGTGAGAGGAACGAGAAGGGGCTCTTGACATGGTCGGTGGAGATCCCAGGGAGATTTGAACATCCGGCTCCTCGTGGTTTTCCACCCCGGCCATCTCCTCCTGCACTCTCCCCATCGCCGCCGCAGCAAATGTTGCCCCCCCTGGCGCCTGAACCCGGTTCATTGTTGATGCATTTCCCCGTGCTGGTACCCCGTTCCCCCTCACCGCACCAGTAGCAGCAGCAGCAGAAGCAGCAGTACCAGCAGTACCAGCAGCAGCAATCCCCTCCATCTCATCCGTAGTCCAGTCGCACCCCAGCCCTCGTTTATACCCTCTCCCTCTCCCACCCCCACCACGTCCTCCTCTTCCTCCCCCTCCGCCTCTCCCCCCTCCACATGCACCCGCGCCTGCGCCCCCTCCACCAAAGCCCCCCCCATGCCCCTCCTCATCCCCACCGCCTGGAGAACAACCCGCCCCCGCCGCCGCACCCGCCGCCTCTGCCCCCCCAAGCGCTGCACACGCCCCACTCCTCCAATCCCCACTTCTGCCGCTTTCACTGCCCGACCCATTACTACAGAAGGCAGCACCGGCAGCAGCGGCAGCAGCACCGGCAGCAGGGAGACGAGGGGGAGGAGGAGGGGGAGGAGGAACAGTAGCGGCAGGGATCATAGGCGTGATCCATCCGCGGATCCGTGCACGGCCCTGGTGAATCGCCTCCTGTCCCGCACAACGAATAGCAGTCGTACCAGCAGCAGCAGTAGACGAGACATGTTGAGTCACGGGCAGAGACAAGGACAGAGCAGCAGGATGGTGGCTTGCATGGTTCCAACCTCCGCCGCCGCTGCCCTCCCCACTTCCTCGCCCTCCTCCTCCTCCTCCTCCTCCTCCTCCCATCACCCCCTGCAGCCCAGATAAATCCAAAGCTCCCCGGGAGGGTCCCGGCCGGTGGTTTTCAGCAGGGGAGTAGGAAGAAGCCCCCATGGCACTCCTAGCACTCCCAGTAGCAGTAGCAGGAGCGGTCGCAGCAACAGACGTAGTCGTCGTGCTTGTAGCAATGCTGCTAGGAGTGGTAGTAGTAGCGATTATGTGAGTCGTCTTGCACCCCTCTGGAAGGTGCGAGCTTCCCCAGGTCACCAGACAGGCGCTCTCTCCTCCCTGCGGTCCTCTCTGCTCTCGTTCTCTCTCCACCCTCTGAAAAAATGACTGAGGCTCAGCAGCAGCAGCAGAAGCAGCCGCAGCAGCTTGTCCGGACCAGTCCGTCTTGATGTGCCGCTCTCCTCGCTCTCTTCCCTCTCCTCGTTCCCTCGCCCCTTCTACTGCTTCTGGCGGCAGTAACCCTACACCAGCAGCCGGCTGAGGCGCTGTTCCTTCCGCTGTCTCCGTAAAGAACTGGAACCTGGAAATTATGGGGCTCGCTTCTCTCTCCCTCTTCAGAGTACTGGTACCGCCGCCGCCGCCGCCGCCGCCGCCCAGTGGCAGCGCTGCCGCCGCCGCCGCCGCCGCCGGCGTGTGGCTGATGCCGCCGGTGTTAATACAATTACTAGTAGTAGTAGTATAAATTGCAGCAGTATTAGCACTACTCGGGAAGTTGCTGCTGCCAGAAGTGCTCAGGCTAGTGCTTAAGCTAGTGCTCAGAGATGGAGGGCCCCTTGGAGGGTTCCGCCCCGGCAGGAGCACTCCGGCGTCTTGCTGGCCGCCGCGACTGCCACTAGCGGGAATCCAAGCAGGCCGCGACGGCCGCGGGAATCCAACTTGAACGTGACGTTCTGCGGCTGTGATCGGCGGCGATCCGGCTTGAATTGCGCCGATAACTTCAAGTTCGGCGGCGATGGTGCTGCTACTGGTAGTAGTTGTGTTACTACTGAATGATCCTCCTCCTCGGCCGAGGAGTCCAGGGGAAGGCTCTGCAGGCAGGAAAGGCGGCCCGGGAATGTGCGCTGGCAGAAAGGCCGCCGCGGCTTCTTGACTGTGATTTTGAAGGCGGTAGGAGTTGTCGTGACGGTGACCAAGCCTCATCATGTAGTTAGTGGTGACTGCTGATTACTACTCTTAGTACTGCTATTAGTACGGTCGTGATTCCTCAGATCATTGTCACAATGCTCAGCCGCTGCGGCAAATTAAGCAAGCCAAACAGGTATATTACTACTATAGTAGTAGTACTACTACTATAGTAGTAGTAGCGTCGCCGCAAGCCGAGACGCAAATACTATCTGACGTCGGTTCTTGGTTACGTCGTAAATAAATAACGTTGGAAGTGGAAGGGGGCGAGGAGGGGTCGTGTTTGGGGAGGACCGTGACGCGCCAGGTACAGTGGTGCCACCGTTTTGGTAGTAACCGCGAGACCCAGCGAGGTTCCGTGCGGAAAATTATGGGATGAGAAGAGAACTTCAAGTGGTAGTAATGATGTGACAACAATCTTCGCGAACTTGGATTGAGAGAGCAAATGAGGGAAGAGGAGACTACAGAACTATGTTTGTGTCGATTTATACAGTAGTCTGTTCACAACCCGGGATGAAGGGTGACGGGTGTTGGGTGGTGGGGGGAATAGTGGGCGGGGAAGTGGGGGGCACGCGTGAGAGGGAATGGATTTGAACGGATATCTGTATCAAGGGGCTGATGAACAGATATTTTAGAATACGAGCAGTGCACGACACGGCTTGCCCAGAAGGAGCACGGAGGGGAGATTGTGCACTTCGGTACGTCCATTTCATTTTTTACTTCGGCTGGCAGGAGTCAGCAGGAGGCTGATTTTTTTTCAGAGGAAAAAAACCCTGACATTGAAGAAAAAAACATGATATACCCCATGTACTATCTTCTTTATTGCAAGGCTTCTGTAGTCGATGCCAGAAACTATACTGTTGGTAATTTGAGCATGTGTTTTATGAAAATCATGGTTTTCTTCCTATATTGATTTTATCTGAAGATAACATACTTATTTGTCTTCTTACAATTTCTTCAAAATGTATAATCAAAATTCTGTACATACTGATATTACCCTATCTAAGAATATAAACGATAATATTTTACCTTTTAGTCAACATATCTCATCTGAAAAATAAAACAATGAATCTTATGTATAACATTTATGATATATATATGACTCAATATGAAATATCAACTAAATACTATAGTTTTATTTCTGTAAACCATCAGCAAAATACCGTTGTTAATATTGTTGCACTTTATATTTTGTTTTTCCTTTGAAAATTTTCTGCAAAATTTCATTATATTTTTAGAACTTTAGAGAACTTGTTTTTTTAACATATATATAAGCAAAACAAAATGTACATGTAACTGAAAACAATATAGAACAATAATTAGTACTAGTTGATATTTTAAAATCATACTAAGCTGAATATGTTATTTCATTTGTTTATTTTTGACACTACTGAAAACTATGGTAAAACTTAATATTTATCATTATTATATAAATATACCTAGTTTCGTATCTATTACCATGTCTCTTTGTGAAATATCTTTGGGAAGTATGTGATTGCTGGTGAATATGGGCAAACGGTGTAGCCAAAGTTTGAGGCCACTAAATGTTAGTAAATTTTAAACTTAAATATTGATTGTAATCGATATAAAAAACACAGTTTATATAACTATCTACAAAAATGGTTGAGGTGGCCAGAATCATAATAGGAGCACGTATAACATGTGTTATTATTATGTCCCAAAATAACATCCACTAAAGGCCTAGGGAGAAGCTATATATTGGAGCCATTTTACGTGAGTTGATACGGGTTCCCGAGGAGCCAAGAGTATCGAAGGTCGGGGTTGTGAAAGTTTAAAAGGAAGAAGAGAGGATGCACTAGCAAGAATGAGGATACAAATAGCAAACCCTAGAAGGGTTGTACTCGTTATAGAGCACCCCACTACAGGCTAGAGCATAATATTCTGACACACCCCCATAGCCAAAGTGGGGTGTAATCAGCAAAGCAGTACAAGCTCAGGATGGATCACAATGTCACCACACATTCTGAGCACAAGTTCAAGAAGCAATAGTTTAAAGTTCACAATTATGAGCAAAGCTAGAGGCTATCGCAGAGGGCAAGTGAGGAGGAGGAGAGACTGTGGGGGAGAGAAGATGGGAGGCGACTGCTGACGCTGCAGACACACAGACGAGCTGCTGGCTCAGTGGCTACCGGAACAACGCTCCGGACTACTGGGGTAACTGGCCCCGCGGCTAAAAGTAGCGGCAGACGAGCAACGGACCCACGGGCGACTGGCGACTACCGGAGATTGTAGCCTCCGGACTGCTGCTGCTGCTGACGACAAGACTGCTGCCTCCACTCGACCTCCCCCAAACAGTACCACCCCTCCTGACACACACCCGCTGCTACACCGCTAGCTCCACTCCCCCTTCACCCCCCCTTAGCACCACTCCAACGGCTCCAACAAGTCCACCCCCCCTCAGCGGCAGCTGCAGCACAGGGAGACGGAGGAGGAGGAGGAGCAGGGAACGGCACACAGTAGTTTCACCCCCATACCCCTCACCCCCAAACCCTAATTCAGGAGAACGGGCTGTAGGAGGGGTGGGGCGCCAGCAGAAGCACGGGGGACAGCGGGGAGGGCAGGGGCAGCGAGGAAAGGGCCGCCCACGGGCCTGGCACAGCCTCCCGAACCGCGCGCAGGCGGCCCGAGCCGCGCGCGGGCCTGGCGCAGCCCGTACGGGCCGCGCGCGGGCCTGGCGCGGCCCGTACGGGCCGCGCGCGGGTCTGGCGCAGCCCGTACGGGCCGCGCGCAGGCGTGGCGCAGCCCGTACGGGCCGCGCGCCGGCTGTACGGGCCGCGCGCAGGCCACGACGGGCGACGGGGGGCGACGCGCGGGTCCCCGTCGCCCGTCGCAGCGCCTCCCGAGGGCGACGCGGCGAGTGACGGGGTAGAAGCCCGCCGCGCGCCTCGGGGCGCACAGCGGGCAGAGAACCGCCGCGCGCCACGGGGCGCACGGCGGGCAGAAAACCGCCGCGCGCCTCGGGGCGCACGGCGGGAAGAAAAACTGCCGCACGCCACGGGGCGTGCGGCACAGAAGGTAGTAGTGGAAGTTGCAGCGGAAGCAACGAGGTGGTGAGCCCACCCACAGGATCGATCCAAGGGGATCGACCTGCTCTGATAGCATGTGAAAGTTTAAAAGGAAGAAGAGAGGATGCACTAGCAAGAATGAGGATACAAATAGCAAACCCTAGAAGGGTTGTACTCGCTATAGAGCACCCCACTACAGGCTAGAGCATAATATTCTGACAGGGGTGGATGGAGTTGCGGTCGCGCCTGTCAAGATGAGGTTTTTCGTCAGTTTTTGGTGAGTAGGCGACGTCTTTTCCACAGGAAAATTTTGAAGGCAATAGGTAAGTGGGTTATGATCACCTGAACGATCTCTAAACGCAAGGAGAGTTGGTTGTTAAACTAGGTTTTGTTGTTGATGGTTGATCATAGTTCAGATGATTTTGAATGTTATGTGGACTTCTGTTGTATATCTCCCGAATGGCAGATTTTTCGAAACTGGAATTATTACAAAATTCCGGAGGGGATCCGCAGTGGTAGGGGAAAGGGTTGGGGCAGAAAGGGAAAAATCGGCTGGAGTTCGTGGTCGCGGATTCGTTAGTTCGTGTTGCATTGTGGGCTGGAAGGCGGTGTTTGTGGAGGAGAAAGGTTGGAGAGGAAAAGAAAAGTCGGAATGGGAAGAAAAGTCGGGCGGAAGTTCGCGGATTCGGTGCGATGTGGTGCGCTGTGGTGGTGGAACACGGTGAGTAGTGTGGATGGTCTGAAATTTTGGGGACTTCTGCTTGACCCAGTGGATAGCCAGCCAAGACCCTAATGACCACAAGGAAACCTGACTTCGTGGAGTTTGGAGGTCCTCCGTTCTCCAACTGTTCTAGGTTCGGAACTTAGCTGAAATGCGTGGCTCGGGAACCGGGGGCAGCGACATGCGTGAGGTGTGTGATTTGGCTCAAGCTGTTCCCCCGTGCGATGGTGGACGGG